TCCAAACTATTAATGAAGAGAAAATGGGATTCTTGGAATTGAATAAACATATGAAACTAAGAAAAAACTGAAACGGAAACAACTGGTTGTTGTTTTATGTTGAAAAAAACGAGGGCGTGCCTATCTAATTCGAGCCAATTGCAAGTATCCACGCTATTTTTGCACTTTGCCAAAATGTGACGGGAGAGGCCATTGGCACAGTAGAACCGTCACAAAAATTTGGTGACAGCACACCGAATAGTTTTCTATGACAGTTCAGTGAATTGTGCTCTTTGTTGTTACAAAGCTACTGCTGCAATGGATCTATTTCTCTCATTAAAGGAAAGAGGGGGATCTAAATGGCTAAATTTGATCGGTGAAGGAAATCGGTTCAGGGCACTATTCGTTTATATTAAATAAATGCTAGCCCAAACTCGAAGGGAAAACTGATCGGTCTCTTCTGCCAGGCCATGCTATTGATTTCTCGCTTTGTGAAAGCACATTGTTTCCCAGTAGAAAAAGCCAAATTTTCCAATCCATTGTATTTATTGGAAATAACAGGGAGAGGAAATGCGCTGAAATGAAGATTGAGATTAGAGGAAAGGGAATATCCACCTCGACTATGAGCTAAAGTTGACATTTTTTCCTGAAAACGTATTTAGTTAATTCGAAATGACTTGATTGGTGATTTGATGAAGGAAAAGGAGGACCGCGATACATAACTGACCCAATCCGGCCGACGTACAGACGGCTTTGAGCAGCGGTATTCAAACTGCAGCCCAGTTCATGATTTTCTGCGGCCCACTACGATGTCCTAATAATTAAAATTTCAATCAACGTTAAGATATTCAAGTAGTTCAGGTACTTTAATTATGCATTTACATTAGATGTTTATGCATTTAAGTGTGGTCTGCTGATCCTGCCTACAATTTAAAGATACATATACTGCTTAGATAAATGTATTTACCTTGCCAGCAAATATTAAAAGGTCAGAGAAAAAAATAAGTGCTTTTCGAAATGAATGGAAGTGTGCGTAGATGCGGCGGTTGTAGACACTTTTTCATTCCTGTTCATTTTAGAATGAAATTCCCTGACTTGAAAGGAGCTCAATCTGGAAGTGGAGCGAAGATTTGAACGCTTCACTTTGCAGAAATTGATCAAATTTTCGCATTTGTTCGATGCAGCCCACTCAAGTTGGACCGATGTATCCGTTTGGCCCTCACCTCAAAAAGTTTGGGGACCACTGGCTCTGAGGCATCAGTAGCTACGTCAGAGCTTCATCACCTCTGCTCATTACAGAAGCATAGAATGGGAAGTGCTATAAATTTCACAAGTTCACGTGAAATGCAGCCGGTTCCTCTTCTTAATACTCATGGCTCTCGGCATCGCGAGGGCTGGAGCACTCTCAATATTGAACATGTTTTCCGGCGTGTCAGGCCCGAAATTATGGCAGATATCCAAAGCCTGACAGCCAGCGCGATAAACAGTTTGATTGATATTGTCCCTGCTACAGGAACCCGGCAGTTTACTCTCGCAATCCTGCTCTGAGTTCGACATTTACAAACATGACCGGACATGTGAAGGTTAACGGCTTGAATAGGCTAGAGAGAAGGCGTTTTCGCCGATATTGACACCTCAGTTGGAAGCGGAGCGTTCATCTTACCCCATTTACTCTTCATGTGTCTCATTAAGGATATTTTATTTAATTTCGAAGGTGCCTTTTTAATGCTAGAGTGGTGGCTGGGAAGTTAAAGGAACATTCACTTTTTATTATTTCACAGTTTTTTTGTTTTCGAAGGCATCTTGACACCTCAACCTAAAGCTTTGAATCTCCAACCTAAGATTCAGCTTACAGCTTAAAGGCCCGTGTGGTTGGAATAGGCCGGAATAGGCTATACAGTGATGAATTTTCGAAATGCGCAGCATTTCCGTCACTCATGATATTTTCTCCTGGCAATAATTCCAACCTATGCGTGATGTGATAGAATGAACTACCAAAGGGTAAAATAGTCAACTCCATCTGAGTATGAACGTCTTTGGACTTTTTCTCGTTTCTTTCAACGTTATATTAGCAAGACCCTTACACTAACAGCGAAAAATGAAAATGAATTGAATAAATCTGTCGAGGGGTGATGTGGAAACGCTGGGGTTCGGTTCTATTGCATGGTCGATTTCGTACCGTCAGTCCCCTTGAAAGAAATTCTGCTTGACCTATTCAGAGAAGTTATCCTCTACATGGAACGTAAGTCCGTCTCGGCACGGACGGAAGCCCTACTGATGTGGTCCGTACTACTTTAGGCCGTACATACGAGGGTCGCACGCTCAAGGGCCGTGCAGGCCCGGTCCATGCGAGAGTGGCCCCTACATCTGGGAGCCATACGTGCGGGATCCAAGTCTCCGAGGGTCCAGAAGTCCCTCAGTAAGGGAATGGCCGCATTTCCGTTCTGCTCGACAGAGTCTTGTCTCGATCCTGCGACTGGAACTATCTTGGAAGAGTCTGTTTCTGAGTTTTCCTTTCGGGGAAGCGAAGGGGTCAGAGGCGAAACCGATTGGATTTGCTTATCCCTATCCGGTTTCGAAGTTGGACTCCGGGGAGTCAGATGCTGAATATCTTCTTTCGGAATTCGGCGTCCTCTCTCCTTCTCGGGGTCGATTGATGGAGATACCTTAGAGCAGTGATCCCAAACTTTTTAAGGTGAGGCCCTCACGGACACATTGGTTTACCTTCAGTGGGCCGCACAAATAACGGTAGTCAACCTGGAGTGGGTCGCATTCGACCATAAGAGGGGGCACAGGGGCACATGGGCACCAGGCACTGGTGACACTTTCAGCAACTTGAGCGACCGGAATCAGACGAAAGTGATGATGAAATTGAGAATGATGAACATGGAGACGCGCCTCTGCGGAAGAGAACGAGAAGCATCTCTTCCTTTCTCCCTCCTATTATGAGTACTGCTCATGTCTTGGGTTCAGAATGGCACATGAGAGGAAACGTTGAGTTCTTGCGTTAACATGAGGCGAAGTCGCACGAACGAACTCTGAAAAGCGGGACGATTCGAGCTTTCTTTTTTATCATCAGGAGAAAAAAGATTTTTCTCGTTGCAAAAAATATGGAGCTCTTGGAATCTGCAGTCACACGCGACTCTCCGAGACTAAGAATTCAGGGCTTCACGAAGATTTTCCCGATATTTGAAATAGAGATGAAAAGATGCGGTCGAGCTAATGTTAGATAATGGTTTACTTTCTCGTGCTCTTTCACTTCTGGGCTTGGATGACGACCAAATGCTCATTAGTCAACAGGAGTCTCGACGAGAGTATGTTATCAGGAAAAATTTCGTGCTTTCTCTTGCAATTTTCACATAAAACCCTGAACATCCAGTCCGTGAAGGCCAATTTTTGGCCGATTCCTTTCATTTCCTTCCCTGTTCTCTTCTTCACGTGCCGACTTTCAGGCAAGGTTTTTTTTTGTACAGGGTATATCTAAAACAAGATTCTCTGGCAGCACCAGTACTACGCCATGCGATTGCGGCGTCTTTGAGAAAAAATAGCACGTCAGTATTCACATCATTTGGTTTTATTCTAAAGCAACGAACATTTCTGATCAAGTCGCCAAGTAAAATAGATCCAGATCAGCCCACGGTTACATCGGTTACATGCGTTGTCGTGATTCTGGCATGTTTTTTCTCCCCCCCCCCCCTCCCCTCCGTCATTATGGTGGACTCCGAACGTTCTTCATTTCTTCGTTTAATTCTACTTTCGTAACCAAAGTATCCATAGGAATTTTGGAAAGCGAGTTTTCATATGGTTTCTTCAGAGGAAGAGAGAGGGAAAAAAAAGGAACTTCTTCACGCTTTTCTTAGAATGTGTTGAAGTAGGCATAATGTCCTGTGACGTGATTAGGTGAGGCGAAAAGGTGCGAGGTGATCCCTTTACCGATGGAGCGATTTTCTTTCCTATTGCCTCTTTTGTATTGCGGCAAGTGAATCAGAAATCTTCATCATGGGACACCCGCTCTTCAGCTTGGAAATTGTCTGCCGACTTTGTTGCTTCCCAACAGGTGGGGAAGTGTCGCGTGCTTCAGGTCAGGTCAGTCAGTCATTGTCAGGTCAGTAACTGAATAAGATACGCGTTATTATTATTGTCATTGTTGCCTCTAGCAGAGTAAATACGTACTTGGAATTGTTTCCATGTTTCCCGAAGTCCCTTAACAACAGCAACAATGAAATTTGAATGCATAAACTCTCGATGAGTTCGGTGAAAACTCCGTCGCACGGTTCCAGTACAATAGCATCTTAGGATTCAGCTCCTTCGAATGAAATCACCCCTGTACTGTTTCGAGAAAATTTTCTAACACGTCTCATAGGAACCGGCGAACGTGCGTTCGGAGTCCGTGCGTACCAGGATCCCAATAGTCAGTTGTCTGTAAGCGATTGGCCGTATGCTCGACCGGAGTCAGTCTTCCAAGTCGAGTCCGAATCGAGAGAAAAGCTCTAATCTGGAAGAGTCTGACGCTGAATTGGTTTTTGGAATTGAATGATCCCGCGGCGAAAACTCTGGAGCGGAGCCGGGCGAGTTGGAATTTGGAATCAGGGTCTCACGCTGATATTCTGGTCTCGAAATTTCTGATCCTCTCGGTCTCGTGGGATAAAGCATGGAAAGTAAGTCGGATTTTCGCTGGAAACGTCTGGAATTGGCCTCTCTCGATCGCCTTTCTTTGTGGGCTTCAGTGTCTGGATTTGGGCCTGTCGGTTGGTGAGATGCAGTCCTCGGCTGAATCTCTGGGTCGGGTGATTCCGAATGCAAATTTGGAATGCTAGGCTGGAAGGATGGAGCCCGACGCGGAAACTCTGTGGCGGCTGGATCGATTCGGCACCAAAACTCGGGATCGGACAATTGCAAATCCAGAGATGGACATAATGCCTCTTGTTCGTCCGGCAGAGGGCCTCGTGATGTCTTGTGGCTCGGTGCGTGGCCCCAGCATATCAATCCGCTCAAAGAGTAATTTGCCATCTGATTCTCACGTTGTAGTCCTCCGAATCGTAATTGAGTGATGGGCAATGCAGTCGTGTTGGTGATCACTCCCAAGTCTGACTCCCGTTTAGGCATTTCCGAATCGCAGTTGCAAGGAAGGTCGGGGTCGATGCAATCCTCGGACAGCCCGCACATGCACACGCGCTCTGTTGGATCTGACCCATGCCAGTAGAACTGCGGCTCTCCGTGGCGGTCGACCCACCACACATTATGCGTAACTCCAGTAGTCAGGGCCGCCGAAACGCAGTCGTACTGAAAGTGGAAGCAGAGGTTATTGTAAATCCATATTGATTTTACCGAGTCGGATCCCGATTGTATGGTTTAACGCGTTCTCTCATACTTATCTCACTTTCCCATTCTACATGAACTTCGATTAAAGTAATGATAGGCTGAAGAATTTATCCCTTCACAATATCAGATATCGTATTTGACGTACAGCCTCCGTTGGGTTGCATCGTGTCCAATAGTTCATTGAGAAATTTCTTTGAAATTCCATGAGAATTTTAATAAGAAGAAGCTTAATTTTACGCAGAAAGTTGTTTATATCGTGTGGAAGACTTGTAAAGTCAAGTCGACTCACTCCTATTTCTTGGTAACATGACTGCGATCGGTCGATCAGCGCCACCATCTGTTTCAGGGATGCCTCGTAAGTGATGTTCCGACTGAAGCAGCCAGGATCAGCACAATGGTCTATCTCCGTGTCTACCTCCATCGAATCGTGCAGAACAATCGTAGATACTGGATCTTTAAAAAAAGAAAAAAGAAGACATTTGATCATAAATGGCACCAAGGCCAGTGAAGTCTCAGGTTGGTTTCAGAATTAAGCTCTTTTCTTTGCCACCCCGACCATATTCCATGTCGCAAAGCACTTGGATGGGTGGATCCCCGACGAGAATCCCATCAGGGTCTACAAGGTACGGTCCCGTCTCCTGTCTCAGGTCTGCCAGAGTTTGGCACGTTGGGGGGACTGGAACAAACGCGTCACATGCCGCGATTCTGAGTCGGAGAAAACGAAACGAGGAAAGGATGGAAGACCTCAGTTACAGATTCTGGAACTCACTGATTGGCAGCAGGTATTGCTGTAGTTTATACTTGAGATGCTCGTTGGCATGATTCAAGTTTTCGCACTGATGCCTCAAGTTTTCGTAGTCGTGCTTCACGTTTTCGAATTTTAGCGTCTGATACTTGTTTTCGAGCCACAGGGTTTCGTTCACAGCCTTCAGTTGTGCGATGCGGTTCCCGTTGTCCTGAGCTTGTGCAATCAAAGCAGACACATTTACCTCCAACATGTTTTCATCTGCTTGCGGCACGACGGGTTGGAGACGATCGCGGACGTCCTCTTGGTCGATCGCCAGCTTCTCGCACCGATCCCTGAGGATCCCGCTCTCCCGTTCCAGGCTTTCATACTGATGCTCGAGGCTTTCCTTTTCGTCCCGCATCTGCTCGTGGTCGACCTTCAGTCTTTGGACGTCCTTCTTTTGCTCCCGGATCGTTCTCATCAACGCCGACACCGCGCCCTGGGTTCCTCCCTCGTTCCTTCCCCGCAAAATCGGCTCGAGCTGGTACTTGAGGTACTCGTTGTCGTGCTTCAGGTTTCCGCACTGATTCCTCAGGTTTTCGTTCTCGAGCTTCTGGTTTTTGTACCGACGCCTGAGGTTTTCGTTGTCGTGCCACAGGTACTCGTTGTCAACCTTCAGTTGTGCGATTTCCATTGCGAGCTCTTTAGTTGCTTGTATCAAGGCCAACACTTTCTTCTCCAATTCGGAGTCGCCCATTTTCCATGCTGAGATGCGACTCATTGCGAGTGTCTATAAAGATCAGAAATAAATTTTAAAAAGTATCCAATTTTATGCAGGCTTAAATAATTGAAGATAAAAGTGTTTGGACCGATTGCATGAACGCTGTTTTCCAGGTGCTTTTCGAAAGTCATCGGTTAACCGATGTCTAAGGCGGAAAATGGATTGCATGAGCGCTCTCTCCTGTAACTATTGTCTAACCGACGTCCAACAGAAGCTGAAAAAGGTGTCGTTTCCAGATAGTGCTTAACCAATGACTGTCGATAATCAATGTCTAAAATAAGCATCATTCATGCAATCGGCCCTTTGAGTTTTAGCCCATTAAAGAAGAAAAAATTTAAGCTACAGGCAGGAAAACAATCTTATAGATATGAACACAATTGCAGAATTAGTGAATATAATTTCTCCATACAGCATCTCTAAATGTTTCACTTCCCTCTGGGCATGAGCTATATATGACTATTGCCAAAAGGTACTGGGTACCAACACCAAAGACGATTAACAGTGTTATTAGGAGACCAATGTTAGCGACCAGAAGTCATTTCCAAGAATTCCTGAGGGTTCATTTTCTCAAGAAACTTCCGGTTGGAAATGAGAAAAAGTGAAGCTGGTAATTTCATGCTAACAGAAAAGCGAATATTCTGCAGGGAACCGTCTCCTTGCAGAAGAAAGAACGTTGAGGAGACGCCGTAGACTTGACTCACTTCTCCAAAACCGTATTTGCTGAATGCAATCAGTGGGAGTACCAAGAGACACGAGTTCCTTCTCATGTTGACGCACTGCTTCCTCGATTAGTTGTCTTGGGCCTGGAAAGAAGTATTGTAAATGACGGCCTTTTCGAAAAAAAATTTTTTTTCAGAGGAACTTAATATACGACTGGAATGAGTGCATGATCGAGATAGTAAAATAATAATAAAAATGAGGGAATGTAACGAAGGAATTCTTGCCACTTGAACGAAAACAGTGATTTTTGGGAGGAATTTGCAGTTATGAGTCAAAGAGCACCCCAAATATTTTCTGCTAATTTTAGTTGCCATTCTAAATTCCTGGTATCCCCCTGGTTCTCCTTTAGGTGGGATTTTAGGAGACAAAAGTTCAATTTAAATTTAATTCTCAGCAGGGCCGGCCCTAGCTACTTCAGCGCCCTGTGCAAAGAGACTCCCAACGCCCCCCCCCTCCCCCCCTTCTCAGAAAGGAGAAGGGTCAATCCCTCGCGTCCAAAAGGACACCGAAGCGGAAGGCAGTTCCACTTTCTGAAGTAAAACTGAAGGTGGCATCCACTATTGTTTTATCCATTCTGGCGCGTTTTGGCGCCCCTAGGGAATTTGCCCCCTGTGCAGGGGCACATGTGGCACATGCCTAAGGCCGGCCCTGATTCTCAGCCCCTTCTGCTATGAGGTGCACCCTCATCCCCAAACCCATAGGATTTTCACTCGTCAAGAAGTCGATGAAGGGAGTCAGAGCAAGTCCGCAGCTGAAATTCCTGTTTGGCTTGTCTTGTCTATACGGCTTGGCTTCTCCCTATCCATAATAAAATACATACCAATTTTAAGACCATCCTATCCCTTGCTACGAGGGTATTCCCGATGGATCGAGTGCCACGGAGAAACACGAGGAGGAACGCAACGCAAGATGGAGAAGAAATTTCGCTGAGGCAAATGATCCCGAGAATCGAGTTTTGCGATACCTAATCAGTTCACAATGGCTCTCCTCTCAACGTTCATTTGGGAAGGAAAGAGATCAAAGTTAAGTTTTAAGTTATGACTTTTTTCCCCTTACCGCTCCTGTAACTCTCGTTTTAATGTCACTCCATGGGGGGAAAGGGGAAAAGCGGATGGAAGCCGGAATATAATTGAGGATCTGGTTCTGTCCCGGAATCTTTTAGCTTACAAGTAACCACAACCGAACGAGAAAACCGGTACCTTCGGAGAAACCATTCAGGGGAGTTCTTGTTTCGTGAGCCCACACCGGATCAAAGGAGAGTAAGCCTAATGCTACAATCGTTGGCTTCAATTGTAAAGAACGAGGAGAATGAATACATACAGGGTGTCCCATAAGTCACTATATCATTTCAAATTGCTATATTTTCCGAATTGCGACAATCAGATCACTGTTGTTAGCATTGATGGAAAGAACATCCTTTAGAATTTTTTTTCCCACGATTATGACTTGGTATCAGACTCAAACGGAAATTGCTTTGGATGCATATTTGAAAGGTGTACTTATTTAGGATGATTCATGGTACACCTTTTTCAATCCTCTTTTCCAAAATTGCTGATTTTCATGTTTTCCTCTTCTAAATTCTGATAGACTAGAGAAACAGAAAAAAATATATATATATATGCCTAGGTATATAATTTTTTACTTTTGCTTTTGCTGTCATGAGAAAAGGCTTCGCAATTGACGCTGGAGCAACGAAGAGAAGTTTCCACTTAGATGGAGGTCTTTGAGAGTCCCGCCAGAGTTCGAAGGGAGTTAAGGCGAATTTTTGGTGCCAAGCCTCATGCCAAGTGTATTGATGTGGGCGCAAAATTCAGAATCGCCTCCATTTTTGACAAAGATAATTCCAAATGACATGCTATCATTCAGTTAATGTTACTTCTTTTTTGTGCAAACTGTTTAGTAGTTGTGATTTTTTGAAATGGTACGGTGACTTATGGGACACCCTGTATAAATGAAGATGGAGTTTGAAAAAGCAGATTAGAGGAGGAAAATAGGCCTGATGCTCTCAAGACCCCAAAGGGTGTGCATCTGGCTGGTAGTCTGCACTCTGAATCCAGACCCATGGCCTCAGGGATGCGGAAACCGAGACTCGTCTGGCTTACGGCGCTCATCACTTTGTTTTGCATCTCCTTCTGTTCATGGGCCCCTGTGTGGTGACTGGCGGTGCTAATTAGATCGATCGCAGGCATGCCTGAGAATCACTTAGAAACGCGTCATTAGCGGTATAAACTGCAGGTCGTGTTGTGCGATTGCGAATTCGGCAAAGCCCTGTCCATTGACAGGCTTCTTTTCAGCGTAACCTGCATCTTAGTTTAGTTAATACCCCTCTAGCGTGCTATCGTACTCACTCGATGGGACAGCTAAGAATCATTTTGAGTCTCGAGAGTAAACATAAGCGACAGTGAATCCATTCCACTGAAGCATTAATCTCACCTGTGTGCGGGATATCCAGATGCTTCTTCTTCTTGACACTTATTTGCTGCCAGCATCACGAGTTCTGAACGCTGTTTAGAACCAGACGTAAACATCTCGGGAATAATAGCTGACATTCACGTGCGCGCACGCATGTGAGTGGGCGTGTGTCCGTGTGGGCGTGTGTGTGCCTCTGCCGGAGGCCTTCATCTATCTTTTTCTTTTCCGAACCAGTCCCCTTCTGCTCGATTCGAGTCTTGGCTCCGCTTGGCTCACCCACTACCCGAAACCCAATTGCCATCTGAGCTTCACGGCCGCGGGCCAGGTCTGGGTCCTATCGAGCTCGTCCGCAGCCCGTGCAGAGCTGTAAGGCGCTGTGCTTATGGGTGGATTGCCTAAAACTGACTTTAGCGTGTTGAAGCTTTAAACTTCCAATGAGGTTTCAACCTCCTTTAGCGGTGCTAATGGAAGTTGAAAGCCTCATTACGCTAAAGTCAGTTTTATGCAATTCACTCCATGGATTTCCGATGCAGGGAGCCTAGTGGGTCGTTCCACACGAACTAACGAGCGAACAACAAGAAAAAAAATGAAAAGTGACATAACCTCCTCCACTCTGTATATTTGCTTGAGTTTAGGGTTTAATTGAGAAAAAAATCCGCACTAAATTCCAGTTCGCTAGACTAATCACCCTTTGAGGTACAGCGGTTCCCAAGAAGTACCGTGATTCTGTGGTCCTCGTCTCTCAAGTTCCCATATGTTTTGTGCTGCAGAAGTTGGTGGCATTAATGAAGCAAGTTCACATGATTTATTGGAGTTTGAATGAAAACGAAGATGGAAGGACGAGTGGCCTGACCTTTACTTCCAGAAAAAGGTCAGTTTTTTCCAAAAAATTTTGCATGAAATTTATCTCATTTTGCCTCCATTGATGCCCCAAATTTCAACAGAGGGAAGTAGCAGCAACGTCACCATCACGTACGGACTTTCCTCCTTCCGAGAGAAATAATCCAAATTTTGCTTCAATGTATACCTCATTTCAGGCTAATGTGAATTGAGGAACGCAGTCCACCCGAATAAATAAAACCAGCGAATGAAGAATCGGTAATAACTACGTCACCGGTTCGTCTCCCCGCCGATACTGCTTGGAAAAGTTTCACGAAGTTTCTTTCAGACATCAATAAGTTCCTCGTCGAACGGAGCCAAAGTTGAAAAAGTAGAATTCCTCTTCTTTCCCAGTTGGGCTTCTTTTGCTGCTGTGGTTGTCGTCAGTCCTTGGATGCTTCGGCTTTGATGAATTAAGAAACAAAGAAAGAGAAATGCATTTCCTTGCACTGGCCTAGTCCTCGTGGTCCTGGGTTTTCAAGCCATCTGGGATTCGAGTCGGTGGCAGGCGGAAAGCCCAATTTTGCTTATTGGTCCATCTTGTCCTATGTGTCCAAGCCTTGCCACGCATCGACTTAGGAGACGTTGTCCTGTTATTTTTTGCCATTTTGGATTCGTTCTCGCTCTCGATGTTTTAATCAGCGATGCTAAGCTACGGGTCTCATTCTAGCCCAGCAAACGAGAAAAAAAAAACACAATGAACAATCATTTCTCAGAGACTGTATACCAGTCGTGAAATCTTCAGTCCGGATGCCTGAATGAGCAATGAGAAGGAAATTAAGTTGACGTTGAGCATCTAAAACACAGTTATGTAATTACCGTATTCGAACATTGTTATCGCAAGACCTGGTCTGGCACTTTCTTTTTCGCTTGTGGATTCTTTTGGTCATTATGTTCTTGTAGTTGCATAAAAGATAAGCCCCACCTGAAAATACGTTATTTATTGCCTCAGAAAACCCTAGAACACCTTTGAAAAGTGAAAAATTTCGAAAACTTGGTAAACATCATGAAGCATGGAATCGTATCGAACGGAATCTCGGATGGTTCTTGTAGGAATAATGTACCCTTCTCCCTGATTCTCTTTCCAAACTATCCAAATCCAAAGATGCCAAATGCGCGAATCGCAGAATGAAGGGTCGGTGCAGCTATTGTGCGGATGGTGTGTGTGGGGGTGGGGGGATGTATGTAGGGTGAGGATGTGGGTAAGGTGTGGTGAGGTGGGGTGGTGATGGTGATGGTGGTGCTTGAGAGGAAGGGCAAGATCGTTTGGCGATTATAGACGCTTATTTCCTGTTGCCATGTGTGGCCACAGTGAAGGGGGATCCATTGGTCTCCATCAACCCATGTCCTTGTATTCTACCATTTTTACTCTTAGATGCCATACCGGTATATTCTGGGAGAAATAGATGTCAGGTTTGCTAGTTATGCACCATGTGGTACATATTAGATGATTTTCGAAAAGTAACCACTCGCCCCATGTTAAGCTTCAGAAGATTTGCACTTGTAGAAATCTGCATAAAATGCCGAGTAGTACTGTGCCTTCTCACCTAGTGATGGTATGCTGCTCTTCAATTGAATGCACCAGGGGGTATGACGAACCTCTCATTGATTCAACGATGAGCCCCAATGGTTGCTCCCTTCGACTCTCGATATTTATTAAAGTCACGTCTCATTTTGATTTTCGGGGTGGAAATCGTGCGCCAGTGTGTCCAGAGTGCTGGATCTTATAAAGTAGGCCCAAATCTCCAGTAAGAATCCAGTGAGAGTTTTATCTTACCTAGATGGTAAATCGATTAAATTAAAAAGGAAGCCAAACCTTTCCGTACAAAGAGTTAGAATCACAGATGATGCTTTGAAGAAGAAAAGACCTTCGGAAGTAAAAATTCCCGAAGTCGTTTCCTTGGTGCTATGATGTCGATCCACGTGATTCATTCATTCATTCGTGACTCATTTGTACCAAAGGGTTTTAGCATTCAAGCGTCTTTCATTTTATTCTATTTTCAATTATGATTAGTCGTTTATTTTAAATATCAAGTCGTACCAGTGAGAAATGCGCAAAGTCGCCTAGCGTATGATGGCTTTTAAATGGTTCATGTACGATTCCGTTCCCGCGTCGCATATTCTGTTCACAGGATGTGCTTCCTATGATCCTACCTGAAATTTCCCATAGAAAGTTCCTTAGCAAAGCTAGTACAAAAGCCGAGTACTGAGAACCCATACAAGCAAGTGGAGAGAAGTCCATCGGGAGGCTTACCTTATTTGCCAAAATCGGTTCTGTGGTCTTCCCTAAATGGGACTTAATGAAATTTGGTTGAGGGCACAAGAAAGTAAACTGCCCATGAAAAAAAATTACATGATGAGGGGACAAACTCCATTTGCTCAGGTTTCAAACTTTGCTGCAGAATTAAGTCGAGGATAACTGGCCGTTTCCAACAAGCAAAGGAAAGCTGATGACTTCTTCATCCCTGAGTGACTGAAAACTTGGAAGAGCCCCATGCAGGGCCGTGCCACGAAGAACAGGCAAGATCGCAGGGGAACGAGTGTTGTGGATCCGAGGTAAGGCTTAAATTCCAGAAAGATATTCTCCCCCCGAGTGCATTCACTCTCGAACAGACAGTTACAAAAATGAGTAGTGAGAGGCAGCAGCCAGCGTCTCAGAGCTGCCAGGCTTCGATGCAGGCCTGCTGAAGGTTGTAGTTGAAGGTCTGGATGTGGATCACTTGCTGGTGGGTGTGCGGGTCCAGGATCAGGCTCTGGCTCAGGCTCAACTCCATCAGTTCCTCTGGGATCTCCAGGTTGTACACGAGGTTGAAGGTGGACGAGAAGTGGCGGATCTCGTCGTGGGTCATGTACCCTATAACGGAACCAAGAAATCACGTTCCACCTGTAATGAACTCGTCGCGTTCCACCTGCCATGAAGTGGACTCCACCGTGAGCCTCACCGTCTTCGCTGGCCGTGAGCAGTGCGTTAGCCATGGACTGAAAGTCGTTCATCCACCGGTTTCGGTCGAATTTAGGCAACATCACGGGCTCTTCGTATTCTTCCTCCTCCTGTGCATACATCTGTCCCTCCTCGACGGGTTCCTGCTACGAGGACAAGTTGACACGAACTTGAAGGCATGAGAGTTTTGTCGACCGAAATGAAGACAGAGGACGCGCAAACCTCTTCCTCGATGACGATCATTTCTCGATATCCATCCCTTTCCTGATGGGGCGGGGCCTGCGGTTCTCTCACAGGCCGCGGCTTATAATTCTCCCCTTTGCATGTGAAAGGAAGAAAAAGAGTCAAACATATCATGGAGAGGAAATGATGGAAGAATGTCAAAAATCACACTGCATCTTGACTACATTCTTACGTGTACTTATACGTTTTCAACTCGGTCGACTCGGCAGTACAGTGCCTTTTTGGGTCCAATCTTAGACAAGTCTATTTCAAGCTCAGCAGACTTCTTGGGAAAAGGTTTTTCCTCTCACCAGGAGACAAGCTACGTTAAACGCCCCGAAACCGAAGCCATTTTAAATTCACCGCGACGTAAATCACGCCGATGCAGGCCAAAAGCTCTACCGAGAGCGACGGACTGAGTGGAAGAATAGGAGTCCTTCGGCCTTGCCCTTTCCAGCAGATCCATGAGTCTCGGGATGGAGACCGTGTTGGGGGATTTCTCGGAGCATCGCAGCAGTTGGTCCTGGACCTCGCCGGGAAGGCCCCAGGTCTGCCTCTCCAGCACGTATTCCACCTAGGTGAGTTTTCGAGTGTCTCAATGCGTTCGAGGTCATGTGTTTTGCCGAAGTGACTGGTACGTTCAGGTTTTCTTTTTTCGTTCTGCGAATCGATGGAATTCCGATTTACCGCCGCGTTGCCATCGAGCACGGAGGAAACTTAAGTCTCTCATTTGCTTATTTTTCCTACGATTAACGACATTTTCATAGCTCGTTATTCTGGAGGAAAATACACGGCTTTTAATGCTCACGCCATATCATAACCTCTTTGCAGAAATAATCGCCGTACTCATACGGGACATCCTTGCATCGTTAGGTGAAAACACTCCCAAAAGCTGTCATTTAAAACCTGTGAAATATCTTTCCTCGAGTGAGGTCCGTATGCGTGACAGGGTCACAAGAACAGGAGGGATAAATTTCTGGAATAGACTGCATTTCCCGTGCTCGATGAGCAGAAACGAGAAGGGAATTCACCTGTGGTTTGGAGAGGATCTCGTTTCGATTCCTGTCCATCTCGTACAAGATACGGCGGAATTTGTCCAGATCCAACTGCTTCCCCGTCGGGAGGAATCTCCCCAACTCCGCGATCAGTTTTGTCTCCTCTCGGCTTGCCATCCCGCTGGAAACGGAAACGGAAGAGGAAATTAAGTCTTGCTGCTCTTCCCTCCGTGCATTGTGACCTTTCCGATCGTTCTGAGGTGGAATTGTCGCTGTCCGGTCTTTCCCCGAAGATCTGAAAGTTACAGTAACGTCCCGTCCGAAAGTTACAGTAACGTTGCATGACGGTTGCAGAGTGACGGACGTCCTGGCGACGTTCCTGCGATGTTGCATGGACGTCAATAATGAGATCGCGCCGCATCGGCGATGTTTAACCTCATCACATGACCTGGGGTTCGGCGGACACAAGCACACAGGTCACAGTGATATGGTCGATTTTTGAAAAATATTGCCTTTAATCTCAGATAGCAAATAACATTCGACGGGATCAGCATGTAAGCCTGACGTTTGCATGCATGCTTGCGGCAGGGGGAGAGGGAGAGAAGTGATGTTGCTCATAAGCACAGGAACTCTGGGACACTGTTAAGCATGCATCCTCCATGCGACGTTACAGAAACGTTGTTTAGTTCAATTCACGTCGCAGCAACGTTACATGGATGTTTCGTGTTGCTTGAGTAACTACGTATACACACACTCGCCAAAAAAATAAAGTCCCGCTAAGCTCAAAGGATTCTCCCAGCCTGAAGGCTATACAGAATAGGTTGATCGCGCGATATCACACAGTGACCTGTGACTTGTATAATTACGAATAACTGAACCTAACGAAACCGTTAGGGGTTTCATATTATTTCGGCCAGTGAGCGTACATCTACCGGTACGATGAGACAAAGATGCGTGGAGACACTCACACTTCCTGCGCGGCCTTGAGTCGACTGTCTTTGGGGAGAGAGGCCATGTTCTTCGAGAGGAGGAGGAACTGGACGAAACTCTCGTATTTGACCATCCCCGGGTAGCGGCGGTCGGTGAACTTCTCCTTCAGGGTCAGCATTTGGCCCGGGGTCACCGTCACCTGCAACGATGGGATCGCGGCGAGTTCTCGATGGGACCGGGCGTGGGGGGAGGAAACGGTGGTTGGGGCTCGTTTCTTGTCGTGCGAGTAATGTCTATCGATCGATGTAATGCACGGGACATAAAACTGATCGATTTTCGATTAATTATCTAGTCGTGATCAAAATGGTCGCAGATCCAACATTACCTTCGTCGCAGCTGCTGCGCATAGAAAAGCAAACTCGCGTTAATATACGAAAGGTATTTTGTAGCCCTGCTTGCTGGGCTACAAAACCAGTTTGTATTATTATTATAGGCCTCATGCTTCAGCTCCATTGTCCTAAATAGAGCCGAAGCACGAATGCACTAAGCTGTCGTTTTTTGGTGTAATTCCAACAGCGAAGACGTTCGGGCGAATAAGCTTCACGACAACGAGTGGGAGTGATTTCGGACCAAGTCGCACGATAGAACGGGAGCCCAGCCTCGCGACCACGAAGATCGCCGCCTCACGTGATACTTGTTGAGGATCTCCTGGAGTTCCTTGGGATGGAGGACGCCGTCTCGATCCCGGTCGGCCGTCCGCATGCTCACCAGCATCCCCTGCAGTCGCCGGTCGTTCAGGTGAGGCACGGCTTCCTCCGCGTGGCGGCTCTCGAATCTGTCAGATCGGGCATTTA